TGATTTCCTGCACAGCCTGTAAACCACTGTATTGGGGTATGTACTGCATACAGCCTGAACAGCAATATTTTCATTAAAGTAGATGTCCATGAAAGCTGAGCTTTTTTAAAAAAAAAAATGGTTTACCATAGTGCTTGAATTTTCCTGGGCAGTTTTGAAGATTATAACAATTATTTAAAACATTTAAAAAAATGAAGAGGAAAGAGCTGCTGTAACAATAATGAGAACTTTATTCTTAAAGAGGGGTATGTGTGTGTTATCCAAATTGTGTTAAAATCTGTATGAGCTCCCCAAGCATTACTTGCTTGTACACTAGTGATAGCTTGCCCCTCTTTCACTGAAACCAGTAGGCTTGAAGTTGGCTGCCCTGTCAGTTTTCAATCAGATTTCCTTTTAAGTCTTAAATTGTTTTTGTATTTATTAAACCTTAATTTTGAAACAATTGACCCTATAATGCTAGTGATCAGTTTAAAAATGTACAGAGACATTTGCTTAAGGAGGTTTAATGTCATGCGAGTTGTTTCTGAAATGGAGAACTTTTGTCTTACTTGTGAATTCTCTTTCAGATATCCTGACTGGACATTAGCCCTAATAAAGAGACATTCCTGTCGAGCGGAGTCAAAACGTAAACTGGATGCAGGCCTGCCCAGCGAAGGGACAGCCACTACCAAAATATGTAGAAACTCTAAAGAGGAGTGGGTGGGAAGAAAGAAAAGCTTCTTTAAAATAACTTTTGCAATCAGTATTTATAGCACATATTCGCTACACGTTTAAACCCTGTATAACTATTGTGGCTTGTACCCAGGAAACTGAACAGAGTTCTTTGGAGAAAGCCATGGTGGTTGACTTGGTTTCAAATATGCAGTATAGATATGCCCAAAGACATCTTCTTGTCTTGCACTTATTGATGTGGTTAATGCAGCATCCCCCCTCCCCCCCCCCCAGTATGTGGCTGTTTAAATTCAGATGACCTGCTGGAAACATGTTTATCTTAGGCCTATATAAAGATGCCATTTTAAACATGTAATTGGTTACTGGTTGCTGTCTTTATTGCTGGGGTGCAGCAGATTCTTTCCTCTTCAATCTCAAGCAATTTAAGCTTTGTTGTAGAATTCAAGCTTCTCTTATACCTCCTGCCTCTGGGCTCTTGGGTTGATGGCTTGGCAGCTTGGCTTCTCCTGTACTACTGCGTGGTGGATGAGAAATTTCAAATAATGAAACACTAACATTTGAACATGCATGATGCACACAGGTGCACATAGGTAGAAAATTAACTGTCAGTGTTTCTTGTACAACTTGCCCGAACTACTGCTCATGCAGGATACCTGAGAGAATTGCCAGAACAGGAATGGTTGGCCTCTGTCTCCTGGTAGGAGAATCCTCCTAACTGTTGGGCATTACCAGAGTATATATCAGTAGAATGTGAGATGGCTGCTGAGGCTTAGAGAGGGTGATTGAATTGCTTAGTGAAAGTCTTTTAGGAAGGAAGGCTTCCCAAGGCAGTAAAGGAGCACTGAGCACTTCCTTGTGACATTGTGGAACTGTTTGCTGGTGGACTTCTACAGGATAGAGGGTTGTGATAAGAAGATTCCAGCTAATCAGCAGATGTTTTTACTTGGGCTTCCCTAAGGTTGAATCTCTTTTAGTGGATGGATCCTCAGAACCAGTTCTATCGGGGGGGGGGGGGGGGTGACATGTGTGCACAAGGAGAGGAGGCCAGCTTAGAGAACTGGGAGCAATCCTGGCTCTAAGTTTGACTGTATTTTGAGACGAGCTGGAGTTGCTTCTGGAAGGAATTTATTTTTTAGATGGACACGTATCTGGTTTCAGTCAAGTTTCCACGTAGCTTGAGAGGGAGAGCATTGTGCTAAGGGGGAAGCTGGCCTAGCCTAGGTTAATAAAAAATTACATTCTCTAACATAGCTTTGTGCCAGAACATCTGTCCCCAGCATCTCCAGTTAGAATGATTACATAAGGAGTATTGTGAAAGATGTGAAGCAGCCTTGAAGAGCTGCTCCCAGGAAACAGTACTGTCCTTGATAAACCAATGGTCTATAAGGCAGCTTTATGGGTCCAGGTTCTGTAAATCAGAAAAATGTTATGGAACTGGTTCAGCTATGCACACTGTTTCTATGACTTTATTTACTTTACTCATTTATATTCCAACTTTCTCTCTAATGAGGACCCTAAGTGACTTACATTCTTCTCCTCTCCTCTGTTTTATCCTTACAACACTGTGAGGCAGGCCCATAGCCAGAAGATTTTCAGTGGGGGGCACCAGAGGGACATGACATCACAAAAAAACAACAACAACAATAAAATAAAAACAAACCGAATAAGGAGGCAGCCCAAAGTTCCAAGAACTTGCTCCCTCCCGAAATGAAGCCCATCTTCCCTCCTGGGACACTCTCTCTCTGGCAGCTGGCAGGAGGAGGAAGAAGCGGCAGAGAGCCAGTTTGGTGTAGTGGTTAAGTGCACGGACTCTAATCTGGGAGAACCGGGTTTGATTCCCCACTCCTCCACTTGCACCTGACTAGACAATCTTGGGCAAGCCGTAGTTCTGATAAGAGCTGTCCTTGAAAAAGAGCAGTTTCTGTCAAGAGAAAGGACTTTGTAAGCCGCTCTGAGACACCTTTGGGTAGTGAAGGGCGGGGTATAAATCCAATCTCTTCTTCTTCTTCTTCAGCAGTGAAGGGAGGGAAGGGCAGGAAGGCAGGCACTCATAGTGACATCTCCTTCCCTACTTGATACAACCGAAGCCTGCCCAGTCCTGGCACTCTCAGCCCTGGAAGACCAGGTGTGGCTCTTTCCGCACACCACAGCAGCTATGCCTGGCCGAGGACTCCCAACCTGACCTGGTTCTGTGGCCCTCGGGGCAGTGAGGCACGGCGGTGGGGCATTTTCCTTGGCTATTGCTGTGGTGCATGCACCAGCAGCCATGCCTGGTTGAGGAGGACTCCTCACCTGGCTTGGGCAAGTCCCAGCTCCCCCAGGCAAGGATCAAGGTGAGGGTGGACTCAGGGTGGAGAGGCAGGGCAGATTCAGGGTGGGTTATTTGCCAATGGAAGCCCCACCGTGGCTGTGGGCCTTCTGTGAGGTAGGTTAGGCTGATTGTTTGTGACTGGCTCAAGGTCATCCAACAGGCTTGCAGAGCAGAGTAAGGATTTGAATCTGGGTCTCCCAGATCCTAGTCCAACACTTTAACACCTATACCGTACTTGCTGTTGGTGTACTCATGTTGGAGAAACTCTGTAACAATCAGTAACAAGAAATCTGTATTAATTTTGCAATATATGGCAGGGTTTTATTATAAAAGTACTGGATTTTGACTGGAATTCCCTAGGGCCAATGAGCCAATTATACTTGAAATAGATATATGTACAAAACCATATGGCTTGCAATTGCATTCCTGTGTTTTTTAAAAAATTTGTCATATTGTTTTATGAAACATTGTTTGTGTTACTGGCTATTCAGTGGCTTTACATTGGCTTGACATGGAATTATTGTTGTATTTATCCAATACCAGTTGTGTAAAGTACATCTTAATTCCCACTATATCAAATACTTATGATTGGCTTTCTTGCCTCATTTTCTTCCCACAATTACTTGTCAGATAAGTTAAAATACAAGTAATTTGTCTGAATCCACCTAATATCCTTGATAGGTAAAAGAAAATTTGACCTGGGATGGCATGCCCAGATCTAAAACTAGAAATCAGTTTATTGACCTGTGTGTAAATTTTTTTTAAGGTGTGTTGCTGTAACAACTGTATCTGAGTTACTGAGATGTAGAGTGTGTACAGATGATAGCTGATCAGAGGGTTAAAGGTAGTAACATTGTCCGTGGCATGCATGTTCACTTCTTTCTGTTCCATTATGGACTTCAGTCAGGCTGTTTTTGCAGGTTTCTATGCTTCGAGCAGTAACTTCAGAAGGTCACAAGTAGCTTCCAATACCCATCTGCCTTCTCATATGACTATTGTAGGAACTTATTAGATAGCACTCATCAAGTCAAACTCTCCTCCTTTAGTTTTAGGACTGGTTTTAGAGCTTTCTTTTTTTTTTTTTAAAGGGTGTGGAAGATGAGGAGCTAAAAGTGGTGGGAGGAACTGTACAAGGCTAACTTTCCCCCTCTCTATAACATTTCCCATTCAGTAACATTTTTTTCTTGGGTGTGGATTTGAGTGGAGCAACAGCTACTTATTCAGTCTAGTCAGTTTCATCATTCCACTGTGTTAGATATGACAAGCAGTAGCAATTGCTCAGGCAAGTACTTAAGAGACTCTTCCCTTCCACTCTGAAGAAAGGCTCTCCATTACATTTATCATGCAAGTATCAGGCTACTTGCATGAAGAAGGCAGCCACTCCCATTTCTCTTCAGAAATTAAAACTGCTTTTTTTCTTCCACTGAATGTTTCAAATATTGCTCTAAAGTAAGTTTTGCTTGGCCATAGCATTGGGGTGGGGGGAGGACCTTAAACACTTTATAGGATAATGTGGCTTGCCTTTCTTACAGTGATGTCAAATGATCAGGGTTTTTACAATGAACCTCCCTGCCCCCCAGTCAGTTGTTTATGCAAATTTTAAAATAAGCCTTGCTTCGCAAAACCAAAACTATCTTGAGAAGGTCAGCCCAACCATCTGCTTACCTTAGTCTACTCTTTGTTGCCATGTGTGACAGTGCTCCTGGCAAAATGTGGTGTCTGAATTTATCACTAAACAGAGCTGAAATTCCTCTGGCTACTGCTCAGCAAATGTTGAGGATTTGGAATGTGGTATGTTACTGTGGCTTGTGGATTCAAACAGACAATTTTCCAGGAGCATCATGGACTATGAAGGAGAAGAATGGTTGGCTGTTAGAGTAGTCATGTGGATAGAATTTTGTTCAAAGTTCAGCTCTGTCAGTGTATGAAACTCTATAAATCCTTTAAAAATCTGGAAATGTATTATTCAGGCCTGATGTGCTTTTGTCTTTTTCACTTCCCTTACCTACCAATCTAGGACAAGCTTGCCCTCTCCAATGTTTTCACGAAATGATTTCAGTATTTGGAGCATCTTAAGAAAGTGCATCGGAATGGTAGGTGACTCATGGCTTATGATAAAGATCTGCATACAATCTGTCTTTTAAATGTGTTGCATGATGTGATCTGGCTGGTTCTGTTTTACATAAAAGGCTGGAACTGATGAATATGTAGGAGTCTCTGAACTAAAGGGTATATGTGTATGTGTGTGGTGCTATACAAAGCATTGTAAAATTCTTTCATTTTCTATGATTCACTTTGAAATCTGTATAAGTCACTGTCATCTCATTTGGGAACTTGATTTTGTTCACCAAAGAAAGTGTGACTAATAAAGGAAATGTCCCATTCCCCCCCCCCCCGCCCCAAGATTCTCCTGAAAAAATGTTAAACAAAGTACAGAAGTAGTCTTAGTAAGAGAATCTAGGCTAAGGTGTGGCACAAGTTCTTTTATTTTTTTCTACAGCTGTTAGAAAGACATTCTAGATCAGAAATCTAGGCACGACCCCAGCTCCTCCTATGTATAGAAAGATATCTGAAAGTAGGCCATATAGATTGAAATCATAGACCATTTTCTTGGGTACTGAGTCATTGCCACATGAAGCTGGTGATACCAGCTTTTGTGTCACATTCCACTTTCAGTCAGTTCTATCCAACTACATTAAGATTATATGAGAACTTACTCTGTGGTCCAAAACAAGAAGGCAGACATGGATGTACATTAATTAATGATTGTACTGCAGTGCTGTAACCAAGGAGCATTTGCAGACCTTTCCACCACCACTTCTTTGTCAAGTTCTCATATGAATTTTTGACTTCATTTGAACATCAGTAAATTTTATTTTGAAACATTAAAAGGGTATCAGTGACTCACAATGGATGAAGATGACTAAGAGCATGAGTTGTGAACTGGAAATCCCAATTTGGATATCCACAAGCAGACTTGTAGGGGATCTCATTTTCCCCTCCCCCACTATTTCCTCTTTCACTTCCCAGGCTACCTTTATTTATCCCTCTGTCTTCATCTTTCCCTCCTTCTGTCTTCCTGGAAACTTCTCCTTGAGAAAACTGCAGTGCTGGCTGCCAGGCCAGGTTCAGTTGTGCAGTAGGGAACCTGCAAAGACTTTCAGGGGGCACCTCACTTTCCCCCTCTATCACCTTCTCCACACTATTTTGCCTTTCTATCTCTTTTTGTTGTTGTTGTTGTTGTTGTTCAGTCGCACAGTCGAGTCCGACTCTTCGCGACCCCATGGACAAGATCTCGCCAGGCCCTCCTGTCTTCCGCTGTCCTCTGAAGTTGGCTCAATTTCATGTTCGTTGCGTCGATGACACTGTCCAGCCATCTCATCCTTTGCCGTCCCCGTCTTCTTTGACCTTCAATCTTTCCCAGCATCAGGGTCTTCTCCAGTGAGTGCTCCCTTCTCATTTGGTGGCCAAAGTATTTGAGCTTCAGTTTCATTATCTGGCCTTCCAGGGAACAGTCAGGGTTGATTTCTTTTAGGATTGACTGATTTGATCTTCTTGCAGTCCAAAGGACTCTCAAGAGTCTTCTCTAGCACCATAGTTCAAAAGAATCTATTCTTCGGCGCTCGGCCTTCCTTATAGTCCACTCTATCTCTTGGCAGCCCCTATATCCTCACCTTTCTTAGCTTCCAAGCAACCTATCTTCTGTCTGCCTCCTATCTTCAGCTATGTTTATTTTTAAATTTACTTAACTTACATTCCACCTTTCTCCACAGTGGGGACCCAAAACAGCTTACATAACTGTCCTCTCTTCCATTTTATCCTCCCCAAAACCCTGCAAGACAGGCTGAGAGGGTGAGCTTCCATGGCATAGTGGGGATTCAAAGCTGGATCTTAGTCCAACACAGATTGCTATACCACACAGACTTTCGTGTGATGGTTGCTGTTGAGGAGTATCAAGCAGCTGGTCCTGGGTGAGCCATTCACATCACGGCAAGCTGCCTGGTGGTTGCTGCTGAGTGTGGCTGCAACAAGTCCTTCCTCAAAGGCCAGAACAGCCCTGGAAAGGGTTCTGCCTGCTCTCCCAGGCTTTTACTGACAGAAGCCAAGCAGTACTGTTGTGGTTGCGTAGCAATGGCCACTGATTATATTTGTTGCTTAAAGCTACAGGCACTGTTTCTATTATTTGGGGGGGGGGGTTAACAGCCCCCCTTTAAGTTTCCAATTTTTTCTGCAGGTTTGCAGAAATATGTGTCTTGTCTGTTCATAGCGCCAGGTAGAAGTATCCACCGATGGGGCCATGTTTAGAATTAGGTGCATTTATTTAGTCATTAACTCACTGGACAGTGCTGTTATTTCTCCATTTTTGCTCCCATTTTGCATATAGTGAGATGATATGATCCGGCTCAGTGGGATGTTATAAAGATGACCAATGGAGTATGTGAAGATATTTAGGCACTGTTTAGTTTTTATCCTGCCCTTTCTCCAAGGAACTAAGGATGGTATACATAGTTCTCCTTCTCTATTTTGTCCCCAGAAAAAGCCTTTGAGGTAGGTTAGGCTGAGGTAAAGTGATTGTGCCAAAGTCACTCAGTGAGTTTCATGGCTTCATAGGGATTTGAACCTGTATCCTAGTTCAGTGTTCTAACTGCTGTACCAAACTGCTCCTCGGAAGGGTGTATATAAATATTCTCCACAATTCAGCAAAAACAGGCAGCTGTATTGGTTTGTTTATATGCTCTGACTTTCTCCCTAATGGGGATCCAAAGCAGCTTACATCATTCTCCTCTTCTCCATTTTGTCCTCACCACAACTCTGTGAGGTAGATTAGATTGAGAGTGTATGACTGGCAGCAAGCTTCCATGACAGAATGGGGATTTAGTCAGGAGCTCACTGGGTTGTAAGTCACCACAAGACCCTTTGGGTGAGCAGTGACTAAAACATCCAATAAATAAATCCGGGTTTCCCAGATCCTAGCCAACGCTCTGCTATACCATATTGGCCCTTGTTTGAATGTGCTACAATAAAATAATTAGAGCTGCCCAATGCTGACATCATGTTATGCAACTTTTGAGTTGATGTTGAATGTCCACTGTCTTGAGAATTCTGACTCTGAGAGAGTAGGGGAGTAACAAAACAGAATAATGTATGGCTGCGGTGGCTCAAGTGGTTAAGACGCTGAACTGCAGGCTGTGGAAGGTTGGTAGTTCAGCAGTTCAAGACCTGAGTGTGCCGCATGACGGAGTGAACTCCCGTCTCTAGTTCCAGCTCCTGCCAACCTAGCAGTTCGAAAGCAAGAAATTGCAAGTAGATAAATAGGTACCACTTCGGTGGGAAGGTAACAGCGTTCCGTGCACCTTGGTGTTTAGTCATGCCGGCCACATGACCACGGAAACGTCTTTGGAAAGCGCTGGCTCTTCGGCTTTGATGAGCACCCCAACCCTAGAGTCGGACTCGACTGGCTTTCGAGCAAGGGAACCTTTACCTTTACCTTTTTTACATTTCAGTACCTGAAGTGCTGACCTAGCAGATGACAAATATATATGCCCTAGTTACTGTGCTTTTCAGGGTTAAGGGAATAATTTATCAATCTGTGGGATGGTGTCTAGCCCCAAGGAAATTAATGAATTTATGAAGCTGCCTAATACTTAACCAGAGTCTTGGTCCATCAGGGTCAGTATTCTCTACTCAGACTGGCAGCAGCTCTCCAGGGTTTCAGGTAGAGGTCTTTCACATCACCTTCTACCTGATCCTTTTAACTGGGAATGCCAGGAATTAAACCTGGGACCTTATACACTCCATGTTAGATGCTCTACCACTGAGCCACAGTCCCTCCCAATTTCTTTGAGTCTTCCTTTAAAAGTCTTACTAAAATTGAATATTTGTGTGTGTTTATTTTTATGTTGCTTCTAGGTCACCTTTCTGTGGATATAATGCTCAAGACAGCTTATAAATAAAAATATAGTAATAAAAAACTATAACAATAAAAGAAATTGCTGTAAAATCCTATAGTGACTATAACCAGTGTAAATAAAAACCCAGGGGATAGTGCATAAATCCTACCCGTGCATTCTGAAATGAGCTCTTAACAGACACCCGTAGGCCTCTAATGAAGGAGCTCAATGGGGGGCGGAGCCTAGCGTTCTTGCATGGCGGCAGCTTAGAGTCTTCTCTCCTCCAGCCTTCCCATCCCTTGCCTAAAAACAACCTCTTCGACGGACGAAATCACCCCCAAAAGAACATGGGTAAAACCGGAATAACCCGGTCCAACAAAAAATATATGAACTCTCAGCAATTAACCAGATATCTGGTTAAAGAAACCGAAAAATCTCCGAGCCAACGGGCCGCAGAACGCCAAGAGAAAATGGCGGAGAACTTATCAGACGACGACGACGGAGCTACACTTTCCCGACGCGAATTCCGTGAAACCATACACCACTTGGAAAACACGATAGCGGAACAAATTCAACTTGCCTTAAAACCATTTTCAAAAGAGCTCAAACAAATCACGCAAACGCTGGCTGAGGTGTCCCAAGCTGCGGAGAATGCCCTGGAGACCGCCATTGAGTCACAAGAAGATATACGCAATCTTCAAAAAGACGAAACATGGGCTAGAACAAAGATCATGCTTCTAGAAAACAAGCAGCGAGAACGTAATTTAAAACTCCGAAATTTGCCTGAAAAAGCGGAAGGTGAGCAAGATTTAAGAATATTTATCGCGACATGGCTTGCAAAAGAATTAAAACTTGAAGACGGAATAGCCCCCCTTATAGACAAGGCTTACCGCCTAGGCCCCATAACGAAAAAAATAGAAAAATTCCCCAGAGACGTCCTTGCCACATTTCCGGACAGCCGTACCAGGGACGCTATTTTACGAAAGTCGAGAGAAGAAAAAGGGCTAACTTACCACAACACTAAAGTGATAGTCCTCCTTGACTTGTCACAAGAAACTCTTCAACACAGAAAAAACATCAGCTTCATTACACAAAAATTAACGGCTAACAACATCCGCTACCGATGGATCTCCCCAACAGAGTTACAAGTTCTTCACGACGGCCAAAGGTATCACGCAGACGACCTAGACAGCGGCTACCAA